GAGCGCGAATAGTGTGAATATTTACCAAAAGCATGGCATGTGCCGGTCAGGTGACGAGCACGGGCCTGTCACGTCTAATGAGAATAGACCTTTAATATTTCAGTTATTATTTTTATTTGCTCTTCATTTAACAGCTTCAGCAGTTCTGCAGAAATTTCATCAACTCCCGATGCCTTTCCATCCTTCATTTGTCTGATGGCTGCCGTTATTTCTTCTGGTAGGATTTCGGGACCTGAATTTTCTTCAATGGTATTGGGGGCTCTTGTACAGTATTGTGCGAATTAATGGAATCATAGGCTGTTTTAATGAAAAAACAGTTTATTTAGTAAAAAATTATATTTTGACAAAACTATAAAGGTAAACTTACATCATTCAGTAGGAAATATGTCCCCCTTTGGCAGCAATTACTGCTTTTACCCGCTTTGGCATATATTCTATGAGTTTCTGGCAGTCTCGATACCAAACCTGAATGACCGCTTCTATCATTTTTGTTTTAGTGGTACAGTCGATTTTTCGCAGTATAGCTTTGCAAATGGCCCATAAATTTTCAATGGGGTTGAGGTAGGGCGAATTACCGGGCCAATCTAAAACATTAATCTTCTTATTTTTGAAAAATGCCATCATTTCCTTTGATTTGTGACAGGGAGCAGAGTCCTGTTGAAGAATCGCTCCTCCTTGGAGTTGACATTTTTGGAGTTGTTTGTCCAAATACTTTTCCAACATGGATTTGTATTTTTGGCTGTTCATCATGCCTTCAATTGGCACCAAAGATCCAACCCCATGTATGAAAAACATCCCCAAAACATTTTCTTGTGAATATTGACAAAATGAAAAAAATTCACAGTGATTCCATTAATTCGCACAATACTGTATTATTCTAAGGTCATGGAAAAGCTTTTACAAGTATTCTTCCCATACTTTGTTTTTATCTTCCCTAGTTATGACAAGATTACCTTCATCATCTGATATTTTTCCGCTGTTGCGTTTTCGGAACTCTCCAGCTATTTCCTTCACTTGGCGATGAACATTGAAGTTGTCATATCGACTCTGATACTCCTCTATTTCTTGACATTTTTCTGTTTTTTGTTTTTCTTGGCTTCTTTTATTTTTCTTCTGATGATGGTATGTATTCTCTTATATTCTTGGAGATTTTCTTAGCCCCGTATTTATAGTCGGTACTCAAGATCGTGCTCGAGAACGTGCTTTGCCAAGTCGAACTTACGTCAAAGTCATGCTCAAGTATTTGTTGTGTTCTATAAACGATACTTCGGGTATTCTCGTACAAGTTTGATCTCAAGCAAGAAAAAATTAGTACGGTAAAAGTAAATTACGAATAAACATCGAAAAAAAGAAGATTCTGTCAATTTTCTCATAATTGTGACTAAACTTTTAGCGCCAAATTTAGTTTATGCTACTTACTGAAATTTTGTGTTTGATATTAATATTTTGTGTTTGAAATTAATACTGGATATTAACTATTTTAAGGTATGTAATATGTTATAAAAAATATTTATTCTACAGAATTAATTTCTAGTTTGTTACTGTGTTTGAGGCATAATTTTTGATGTTCAAAATATATGCTTATGTATATTTGTTTTTGGATATATTTATATGTATGTAATGCGTTACAATCATTATAATTATATTGCATGTGTAAGCCGTACGCTAAATAAATTGGTTCTGTAAATTTTAGATGAGTGGAAATAGCAGTAAATATGCACCTTACTCAACAAAGGAAAAAGTTCTCCTAATTCAGCTGGTAACAGAAAACGCTGTGGTAGAGAACAAAAGGACAAACTGTTTTCCACTTCAGCAATGGAGAAAAATATGGCTTGGGAGTTCATAGCAACAAATTATAACTGCCAACCTGAGTTCAACATCTTGCTGCCTGATTATACCATCAGGCAGCAAGACGAGATTCATAGGATGAAAATGAAGATTTTAGAAGAAGATATGCTGAAAGCAAAATCCTTAAGAGAAGCAGCTGAGAAGGAGAGGCAGAGAGCTATTGATGAAGCTGAATTAGCTTCATTGAAGTTAATAGACTAGAAAAAGGGTAATTATATATTTTATCATGTTTGACTTGTCACTGGAATTTGTCTATAATTAATTGTTTATTTTCAGGCGCTAGAAGATCTTTTTCCTTTGTTGGATACTCTGCAGTTTTAGAGAAAATGTAGAAATAAGCCATAATATGTTTATTTATTGATATTTTTCAATCTATATGACCAGAGGCTGTTATCATAGATACAAAATTGTGATTTATTTTCTGAAAATAAATCACAATTTTGTATTTTTGGTAACAATATCTGGTCATAGAGATTAAAACATCAGTAACTATAACATACAAAACATTGTGGCTTATTCCCAACTGAAGATAGTATTTGGGAAGTGTTAACTCGGTCTTTCAGTGGCCTTTTCACTTTAGGAGCACTGAATGTCAGAGTAGGGTCTGTTTTAGCAGGTAGGCATTTGACGTAGAATCAGCGAAGAGAGGATGTTTTAAAGTACCTCGGGAACTACGAATAATGAATCCTGCACTAAGGTCAGTCAGGCGGCATCCTGGACTGAGATGTCTTAAGATTTCAGACCCTCCCCCCTCTATAAAGACGAAAAAAATATACTTTGTGTTGTAAAATCATGTTTATTTTCTTTCTATTCTCGTTCCTGTTTATTTTATTTCTAGATAGTATTTAATGTAGATTTAAGATTGTTAATATTTTAATTTCTGCTGGTAAGATATGGTTTTACCTTTTTATTTGTTGAATAGTCTTTTGTTTTTTGATTATGTATGTTTCTTTTTCAGTTTTTTTAAGTATTGATTGCAATACATAGTTCATAATATTTTTATGTTGTTTACAGAAAATTATTAAAAATTTTTAATAAATTGCTGCTACTTCGATATATATATATATATATATATATATATATATATATATATATATATTATATATATATATATATATATATATATTTCATCCTCGAAACAGCTTAAACTAGCATTCAAATGAAGCCATCGGTTAAAATTAAATGAACAATAGTATTCTTACTGTTTTTCTTGTATTTTTTTGTCTCGTTTCTCTTGTTTAGTTTGTAATCTTTAATGTTAAGTTATTATAGAGTTTTTATAACATCCTTTAAAAAATCTACAAATTGTTTTTGTAAGTATGAACCCTGGTGGTTGTTTACTTATATGTTAAAATCTTTTTTATTCGTAGTGAACTGATGATGCTTTTAAAATAAAAGCGAAACGTATTCAAATAAATCAATAAAGTAGTTGACGACTTTTATTTGCCAATTATTGACTGATAAAACCTCTGATATTCAACCATTGAATATATTTTAAATATATATATATATATATATATATATATATATATATTATATATATATATTATATATAATTACTTTATATTTTTGTAATGTTCTAATTGTTGTACAGTTTACTCCTGATAAAGCTATAAAATAAAATAATCTATTTTACATTGTATTTAATTATAACTATAATTTTTTAAATAAAGAATATTAATATTCTAAATTTGTATTAATTTTTATTTGGTAAGGAAAGGTTTTATGAAAGGAATATACACTTAATTAAAATGAGGGAAACTCCTTGTACTCAGAGAAGACATACTTGAGTTGTCTGAGCATAGTGAGGGAAAACCCTCATTTATTTTAAAATTAAAACAAACACATTTTTATAAATAAGACAAAAACATACTATATCTAATATAATATAGGTATTTAATTCTCAAAATCAACAACTTTGAATTAAACAAAGATAAGATATAAAATAAAAAAAAACAACAAAAGTGTAATCAAGTAATGATAATCATTCTGACATTTTGAGAAATAAGGTAGAACATACATAATATAAGTATTCAATATTGTATTTACATTCCCATGCATAACATTGGTGAATAAAATGTCTCCTAAAATTTAAACCTCATTCCACATCATTAAAGTTTCTATTTACTACTTTCTAGAAAATCATCATCACTATCATTATTTTCCTGTAAACATATATTGCAAAGTACTGCTGTAGCACTTATTATGCAAGATATATATTTAATTTGGTTTGTAGGCTCATTGCAGACAGGGAAACCATATTTTCCAGGTTCCAAATATCCATTTACACATTACATGTGTACTATTATTATATCTATTTTGTTGATCATTGCCTAAAAAGATGTATTTATCAAATAATCTACTTTTTATTTGGCCAATTATCAATAAATACCTGGCTATAATACTGGAGTAAGTAGATTGTGTCTGCACTGCATACATATTCACTATTCATAATAATTCTGGAATTTGCCCTCTTTCCATTCTAACTTTTAATCAACTTTGATCAAATAATAAGCTACCAATACTTTATCCTGGATGTTGAACGACAATATTAATCTCAAAAAACAAAGAAAATATTGTATTGGAAATATTCATAAATATAAACAAACAAGTTAGGTTAGGATCCCGTGCTCAAGGCAGGTCGATCGGATAATCGGATGCTTGAGTACGAGCTGTCATTTTTGCGTTCTCAAGCTCGACTTCGTGCTTGAGAACGGTTTATAGAACACAAATTTGATTCAAGGTCGATCTCAAGTATCGATCCATACTTGAGCATCGTTTATAAATATGGGCCTTAGTTTTTTTTTCTGATTCATGAGTTCAAGTATTTCATCGGTCATCCACCATTTGCGTTTCTCTGTATCTTTCTTCAGGTGTTGTTCTTTTATCTCTCTTTCTTACTCTTACGAGTAAGTTATCGTTCGGTTTTACGAATTCACTTTGTCAATGCATAATTTCTCATTGCTTATTATATTATTTTTTTAGGTGTCTAAAAGGTTTTCTTCAATTATGATCTAGTTAATGGCTTTCATTTGGTACATACATTGACCTTGCGCGATGAATGTTTATTTTACCTATAAGTATAGTTTAAAATTATAATATGATTCGTAACTCTTCAAATAAAACTAATTTACCAATAAATTTTAAATACAGTTTATTAAATAAAAGTTCCGTTTGAATATACAATACTTTGTGACTATAGAAGAGACAGTTTGTGGGCGATAAAAGAAATATAAGAGCGTTGAAGTCGTAAATAGTCTGATAAAAAAATAAAGAATGTAATCGAATAGAGAGGATAATTTAAAATATTCACCTAAAAAGTAATTTTGTACATGTTTTAAAAGAACACATTTTCATCACTTTAAATTACTTAAGTATCTCAAAGGTATAAAATCAACACAATATAATTTAACTTATCTACTTAACTACTCTTTCCTATTAACGGACTCTTTTCTTGTTTTTTCCTTTTTTGTCATCACTGCTAATACTGGCAGCCCTTTTCTTTTTTGAATCTGTCAATATTTTCCGTCCATATCGAGCGCAATACGCGTCCATGTTGAATTTTCTTCTTAAACTGTAATCGACCATATAGCGAATTTTTCCGAAAATGTCTCGTTCTTTCCAGCCTTGATCGTGTATTCCACATATTGACCACATCACCCCTGTAATTCCGAATATTTTATTAATTTTAATATTAGTAAAATACAAAATATAATACAAAGGACTATGTTTCAGCTTTGAATCCATTAAAATTACAAAAAAAAAAACGATAACGACAAAGTAATAATTAATAATCATGATATGATTAACATCTGGAAATACGTTAACTTGCTTAATGACTACAAAATAAAAAATTCGCTTAAATCTACAAAATAATCAAGATGTGCATTTTGAAAACTTGAACGGTTTGATGAATTGATTCTTTCTCCTGTTGCTGACCAGAATGGAACTTCGACTAAGTTTTTTAAATAATTTTAAACTGTTTGTCCTTGTTAGTGTAGTGTTATGTACAATTTTATGTTTATGACATACTGCGCTTGTTGGATAGCCCAAAATTGACGAAATGCCCCTGAAGATACTCTACGAAGCGAAAGTACTTGGGCAAGATTTAATTAATAAAACTGTGCTCGATATCTGCCTTTTATTTTATCAAAGTTTTCGAGCATTCAACCTTATATCAAATCATAAGAAGACCAAATATGAGCACAAATAGGACCGTATTAAATATCAAGGAACAGTGCATAGCGTATGGAAAACTACGAGAAACATTTAAAAACAATATATCCATATGTCTGAAAATAAAAGGATATGATCAGTAGGGTGGAGTGAAACATGAAGAATTTTTTTTTATTTTTTATTCGAAATGTAATAGCGCGGAAAAGTTGCTTACTGCATAGAGGAGTACCATGTTTTTTTTATTTTTTTCTACCATTTCATCTTCAGGGTTCTATAGGGTGAAACAAAAAAAAATAATAAAAATTTGTTTAATGTAATAGCGCGGATAAATTGCTTACTACATAGAGGAGTACCATGTTTTTTTTTTATTTTTTTCTACTATTTCATCTTCAGAGTTGTACAAGGTGAAACAAATAAAAATAATAAAATTTTCTTTTCTAATGTAATAGCGCGGAAGCTAAATATAATAATGACTATTAGGCTTTTTACCAACTTTTATAGTTTTAAAAAGTCTTCTACATTTAAAAGGACCAAAAAGTTCAACCAAATATTATTATCTAGACTATTAAATGGAAATTAAACTGCTACTTGTCTTTAAATTCCTAAAAAATGTATGCACTGTATTGCGCCTTAGTGTTAAATCGAGGTATATGGCTCTTGAATGAATCCTTGCTCGAACAAATCCATCTCTGGAGTCATAGTCGAGGACAGAATTGGAAGCTTCTGTTACAACCTTCACACATCTTTCTACTGCTTGAGTATGACAAGAAAATGACAAAAAATTAGTTGGAAAAATTTCTTTACTATTAATACATTTTCTAATATCCTCATCAGTTGTAGATAAAAGGGGAGGAATTGTAACAGAGCAAGTTTGCCAATCAATAAGTTCATAATATTCACTAGCATTGAAATTTAAATCAGGAATTTAAAATTATTTTACATTCGTGTCCACAGTAGGTATTTTTGTGCGCGTCTTCAACATTCTGCGTAAGGCAAGTTGTCTTATGGAAGGACGATCATCAAAAAGCATTGCTAGGAGAAGGTTCTCCGGATGACAAAAATACGAATTTCTTTTGATAACAGGATCAATGACGGCTTTTAACTCGTTCCTCAGGTAGCGTGACAATTGAATCATTTTAAAGACGTGTCTTGCTCCTTCACTACACGATGGCTTAGTTTTAATATTAAATCACACTGGCGCATAAACTTTTACCACAAATTCAGCCAAAGATCTTAAAACCAAAGACAGATTTTCACTTCCGACGTAAACACGCAATATATGATTTGCCTTTGTAACCCATCGTGCATGTGATAATTTACCCGGATTACGAGTTGCTAAATCTATTGAGCACTTTTCACTAGAAACAGAATGACAAATTTCGTATAAGTAGTTTTGATCACTGCTAAGATCCCTTATAACTGCAGCATCTAATTGTGGTAGAGAGTACTGTACCGTCGCAGCCTACTACTAAAAGATTACCTGTGCCAATACCGGATTCTTCAAAAAAATTAGTATAGATGTGGCAATATGTCTTCCTGTACCTGAAGTTGGAGTAATGTGATTTAGATATTTAAAACCTGGTTCTTCAAGTAACGAAATGTGTTCTTCGGTTTTTATCTTGCAATGAAGTTTATCTCCAACCTTTTCTTGGCACAGAGTTTTATCCTTTCTGCCTGAACTTTTTTACTCTTAAATTATAAGTCTCATTACGTTTTTGTTTTGGATATCTGATGAGAGTTTGGTACTTACTCAGGATATCACGAATTAATCGAATAATACAATTGCTTGATACAGTGGGAACTGAGGCTTTTTCCGAGATGGCTTCGATTTCACTGGTAACTAATTGAGAAATAACTAAAACACTAAAATCCTTGCCGGAATCCACACGTTTTAGTTCATTTATAATAAGTAGATATCGCTTCATAACATCTTCTATAGTTGGCAAACCATTATAGAGGTATATTCGCAGGTGCACCAAATATAGGACAATTAGTAGTGCCCATAGTGTCTTTCACTGGCAAACTCATTACCTACCGATTAATTATTACAATAACGATCTTATGTCTACGGCTAACACAGTGGGACTAAAGGTTGAGCTAACTTCGTCTTACTTACTTTGTCGAACCGATCTAGCAACAGGTCAAAAAACGTTTTACAGGAAAAGATTATTTCACGGAAAGCCTTTACTAGTGGCGTAGCTTTATTTAATAAAAATTAACTGTAAGACGAATATTGAACATTATTTGATGAGATTTTTGATCTGTTTTATTTCCAAAAATATTGCTCAAAATATTTACTTGGGTGACAGATAGAGCTCTAATAACATTATTTTTACCTAAAATAAAAGGAAATAATTAACATCAATAAAAGCAGCTTCTTTTATTTATTAAAAGTAAAAAATAAATAAAATCGATTTTTCTTGATTTTTTTCTTTTTTTGATGCGCGGTAGAGCCCTGAAGATATTTTTATTTTCTACTGAAATTTTAGCAGCAAGTATACTATAGGTAAGGTCAACTTTTCGCAGGTATTACATGTAAAAAAAATATCGATTTTTTCGCTCCTCCCTAATGATCAGTGCATTTTATCACTACCAACGTACGGAGCAGAAACAATTACCCTAACAAACGCTTCAGCCACTAATCTCAGAGTAACACAGAGCAAAAAATAACTAAAGTGACTGACACCATTCGACGAATAGCCAGACTGAAATTGAGATAGACAGGACACATAACGGAACTGACAGATGGATGATGAACAAAAATGCTGTTAAAATGAAGAAACAGTGATGATAAACGAAGTGTCGGGCTACCACCAGCACGATGAACTAACGTTAAAGAAAATGAATACAAATTGGCAGGATAGATGGGGATGAAAACAAGAGCAGGAGGTCTATGTTTAGCAATGTACATTTAAGATGATGATGAAACATTAATCCTAGAGGTTGATACAACTGACTTTTTAAAATAAAAAAAATGGTTCAAAATTGATAATATATTTGTTATTTCAGTTAATTTTTGGCGACGTCAATGCAATTTGTTTCATTTAATAATGATAATTTTGATGCATAGATACATAATAACAAATATTATTATCCTCACCTACATATCCGTTAGGATCAGTCCCATCCAGACAAAATGTGTCATTAAGCCATAATCCATATTCGATGGCTTGTTCAGGAGATTCGGTCCATTCTAAAATTTTCTTGCACCAGTACATCCGCATATATCCATGAATTTTACCCTCTTGGTGGGCTTGTAACTGTGCAGCGTTCCACATTTCATCATGTGTCTCGGCGTTTTCGAGCTCTTTTTTTGTATATGTCCAAATCCTTTTGTCATTACTAAAGAATATAAAAACTGTATGTACAGGTCGAGATAGAAAACTTTTCATCAAATTAAAAACGTATGATAAAATTATAACATATTAAACTGATTCAAGATTCAAACTCAACATTCAAATTTTGCAAATCAAAAAAATTCTTATTTAATTTGCCTTAAATTTTACTATATTCGACAAGGTAAATAACTCATACGGATTTTATTTACTATTAGATATTGTTTTTTATTAGTTACATGCAAAAATATGAGTATACTCCATTCCACGAATATACGACTGTTTTAAATTCGGATTAAAGTATCGATTTAAATGGTCCAATGTGGTGATTTGTACAATAGTAAATTCTCCTCATTTTTAAAATACTGTTATGACAGATATAAACCTTAGATTTAAATATGAAGTCGCGATATAAATATAGAGTTGATAGTTTATAGAACAGTTGTAATTCAGATTTTGAAGTATATAATTACAATCATTGAGTTTGGTATTGTAAACAAGTTGGTTTTTGAATTGAAGTGATTTAAATGAAGTGTAACTTATTATAGTTACTTTAGTTTTGTTTCACTAACATAGAGTGCATCACTCACACACGTTTATGTACGGACTGAACTGGTCGCAAAGGGCCTCCGTTGGTTTTCTCAGCAGTAAAATAAAAAAGTACATTAAATATAAAGTTGTCTAGATCTAAAACACGTCTAGGCATTTGTGGCTTCAATGAACAAATACACTACACTAAATTCTCTCTTAACGGACACTTTCTTCACCGGACACCTCTATACGGACGGTTTTTAAAACAAATCAGTCGGCGATATATGAAACTGTATGTAAATTTTGGTTACTTTTTAATATCTGTAACGACTCAGTACTTTAACTATCAATAGCCGGTATGTTATACCAGTTACTTTCAGAACGTTCTGCCAATTACTTTTCATTTATATTAAAAATAGTATATTTCTTTTTATTACAGTTGTAGTACCTAATAAAGTAATAAAATAGTCTAATATCAAAAGAATGGCACGCCTCTTTGGTGTTTACATTTCACCGAAACCCAACCCAAATGTCTGATGAACATATTTTACCTTCTAGCTTCATAGATGTCATTGTATTTATTTGTAGGAGCGTTTGCGTAAAATTTTTTGTTATTTTCAGATTAAATTTCACAATAAATTTTGCATCTATCTGAACATTTTTTGATTGGAATAATGATTAGACCAATTCACTTTCATACTTCTACTTGCACAGTAAAATATTCGTTGTCGCAACAATCCAAAACAGTCGTATATTCTTGGAATACCAAACCCTATAATTAGGAATTTGATAACTCTGCCTGTGGGTTGTGAGTGCGACGATTGAGTGGTTTGAGTAGCTCAGAAGCCGTGTTCATGCTCAAAGCCGGTTCCTAGCCCAGATAAAAGAGGAGGTTAGCAGATTGGGAATTTCTTGTTGTATGTTTGTGACAATTAATCTGTAAAAATATTCCCAAGCTGAGCGAACCGACTATACAACATCCTCATTCTTATAAAGATAAAACGATTTACATTCCAGAACATTTTACGCGTTGTCACAAAACTAATTAAATTTTTTGTATAACTCAAGGACAAATTTGACATGATTCTAACAATAATAATCTAATAATAAAAATACTTACCTATGAAGTTTCAAAGATTCTTTGGCCCAGTTGGCGGCTCCATTAAGATTGTCGTAGTTGCTGTTATAATAACAAAAGTTATCCGTCAGCTCCCTTCGTACTATAAGCTCTTCTAAATACTTATCACATTGTTCCTTAAAAAGTGAACTAACACTCTTTACTTCTAAGGCACATCTTTGGGCACTTATTTGTCCTGAAAATATATAAATAATAATTAAAGTCAAAATAATTTCATGATATTTTCTATATAATATATTCTAGCAAAATGGGAACAGAAATAATGGAAAACAAAACGAAAATATTAAAACATTATACAGTAGACTCTCTCTAAACCGGCCACCTCGGGACCAGAGTCTATACAGGGTGATTGATTAGTGTGAGGAAGCTCAGTAGATCTGTTATAGTAAAAATTACTAAAAAAAGTTATTAACAAAAATTGTAGGCAGCTTTAAACTCCACATTTTAAAATTAGTTACAATCTCACAGGGTGTTCCATAAGATGGTGGCAGACCAAACTTATGTTTTTTTAAATTGAACACCCTGTATTTTATTTTAAATTTAAAATCGGCTTCACTTCCACATCACAACAATGTAAAGTTTTATTATGTTATACCGGGTATCTAAAAAGTTATAACCAATATTACCTGATAATCGTATCAAGTTTAACTCCCTGTGCAATTAAAAAGGAGTATAGGAACATTGATATATTGCAACCATAGTTTTTAAATAATTGTTAAAAATTATAAAACATATTCGTTTCCATAATATTCGTTAAATCAAATACAGGGTAAGTCAAAATGCAAATACATTATTTTCTTGGTAATTTTAAATAGAACACCCTGTATTTTATATCACTATCAAAAAGTAATAATATCGTACTTCAAATTTTATAGAGTACTCCCTATACCTAAAGTTATCAGTTTTCTAGATATTATTGTTTTTCCATCAAAGTATTAATTTGGTAGATATTTTAACGTTTACCAACTCACAATATAATTATTGTGAGTTGGTTATGATTGATTTGTCAAAAACTGACAGTTTGACATTATTGTTTAATAATTTAGTAACGAAATAACGACACAGAAAAGAAAACAATTTATTTAAAATAAAATTTATAAAAAATAACCGACGGAAAATAAAAAAAATATAACAACACATAGAAAAATTAAAAACAACAGTAAGTTTAACTTATCTTACTTAAGTAAGGTGTTCAAAATGACCTCCCAAAACATCTATGCATGCTTGAAAACGGTCATTGAAAGAGTTGGTTACATTACTAAGCATTTGTAAAGAAATATTTTGAAATGCAATTCGGATTCTATTTTTCATATCATCCCTTGTTGTTGGGGGTATTTTATATACTTCGTTCTTAACGTAACCCCAAAAAAATGAGTCCATTTTATTGAATTCTGGTGACCTTGGGGGCCACCTTACCGGTCCATCCCTTCCGATGCATCTTTCCCCAAACTGATTATTAAGCTCACCACGTACTAATTCGTTGTGGTGCGCAGGAGCACCGTCATGTAGAAACCACATTTTTTCACGTATATTAAGTGGAACCTCTTCTAATAATATCGGTAACTGATTTACGATAAAATCTAAATAAATCTCACCATTTAAATTATCTTCAAAAAAATATGGTCCTACTACATGGTTACCGACGATACCTCCCACACATTTAGAGACCATCTTGTTTGACTATGTGTTACTATGTGGTATGGATTACTTGTTGAGTAGTAGTGAAAGTTTGCCTATTAAAAGAACCGTTTCGATGGAATGTAGCTTCATCACCAAATAGGACATAATCAAAAAAATCTCTCTGCTCATTAATTTTTTTTAAGGCCCATTCACAAAATACTATTCGTTTCTGAAAATCATCATTAATTAATTCTTGGTGCTTTTAAATATGATAAGGGTGCATCTTGTTTTTAGATAGAATGTTTTGAACAGAGTAGTAACTAAGTTCTTGTTCATTGGAAATAGTCCTTATGATTGTGTGTGGGTTTTCTGTAACCGCCATCAACACACTCATTTCGTTTTCCTCTGTCACACTAGTTTTTGTTCGTTCATGTTTTTCATAATTCACTGAACCAGTGCGGTTAAATCGATCTTTCAATTTTTCAAATGTATCTTGTCTAGGTTGTCGCCTATCTGGAAACCGTTCTTGATAAATTCTAGCTGATAGTAATGAATTTTTATTGCATTCCCCCAATATCCAGATCATATCTACCATTTCATCAGTAGTAAAATTCATTACTTCTAATTTAAATTGAATGAATTACTGAATTACTAAATAATAATTGTTGCTAATTTACGGTGTACCCCAATACTGAATTAATAAATATTAATGTCAAACTGTCAGTTTCTGACAAATCAATCATGGCCAACTCACAATAATTATTGGTAAACGTTAAAATATCTACCAAATTAATACTTTGATGGAAAAATAAAAATATCTTTAAAACAAATAACTTTAGGTATAGGGAGTACTTCATAAAATATGAAGTACGATATTAGTTCTTTTCGATAGTGATATAAAATACAGGGTGTTCTATTTAAAATTACCAAGAAAATAATGTACTTGCATTTTGACTTACCCTGTATTTGATTTAACGAATATTATGAAAATGAATATGGTTTATAGTTTTTAACAATTATTAAAAAACTATGGTTGCAATAGATCAATGTTCCTACAAGCCTTTTTAATTATACAGGGAGTTAAACTTGATACGATTTTCAGGTAATATTGGTCATAACTTTTTAAATACCCAGTATAACATAATAAAACTTTACATTGTTGTAATGTGGAAGTGAAGCAGATTTCAAATTTAAAATAAAATACAAGGTGTTTCATTTAAAAAAACATAAGTTTGGTCTGCCACTATCTTATGGAACAGCCTGTAGGATTGTAACTAATTTTAAAATATGGAGTTTAAAGCTGCCTACAATTTTTGTTAATAACTTTTTTTTGTAATTTTTACTATAACAGATCTACTGAGCTTCCTCACACTAATCAATCACCCTGTATATTTAAATATTTTACAAACTTGATTTAAAAAAATCGGTAACTTTCTTCTGTTTCTTGACATTAAGTGAATTTTAAAAGCTATATCTCTCCATTTTTAAAAACCCAAAACCCGTCAAAAGACGTCTATTGAAGATGACCCAGGTTGTTGTTCAATATACTTCAATGCCACCTCCACCGCAGCCCTCGCTTCGGTGTGGCCGACCTTTTCCTCTCCGTCAATATCATCATCATCAGTCTCCTCATTTTCATAGGGCCCTTCATGTGTTGCTAGTGTAATTATTTTGTCGTCTGTCAAAAACTAGTTTTTAAGTTCTTCGTCATAGTTTATCCATTCTTCAATATCTTTGGCCTGCAATTGGACATTTTTGGATGTTTGGAGATCTTGAAGAATGGTGGAGAATTATCTTCTTCATGTGATTGCCACTCAACAAGTTCCTCAATGTTGGCTTAAAGTTTTTGCCAAGACTTTGAAAGCAGAACAAAAGTAGAAGCAGGAATTTCTTGGAAGGTGGAAGCTACCATGTAAATTATATCCTTCAAGTTAATTTTTTTAATGATATCAATAAGATTGAGATCTTCACTTTCTGTGCATTGTACCATTTCGGACAGTAATTTACGTCTGCATCATCCTTTCAAGCTTTCAATCGCCCCTTGATCCATCGGTTGCACCAAGTTTGTCACTTTAGGAGGAAGAAAGATACTTTTTAAGTGATCTGTCCCACATGTTAGGTTTCCAGGATGAGTTAAAGCATTATCCAGAAGTAAGGTTGCTTTAATGAGAAGATTTACGCTCTTAGGATCGCGCGTTACTCTCGGAACAAATTCAAGCTCAAACCATTATTTGAATAGATCAGCATAGATATAATATGCAAATATAAATTTATTTTTATTTATAAAAATACTTAGAAGCTAACTGTAATAGACTTACATTTAATTATATTTTTAAAACTAAATAAAATTTTGTACTAAAATATACAAATAGTTTACATATTTTATTATTTATAGAGCAGGTTTATTCTCCTCTCTTTGCTTTGTGCAAATTTGTCAGTTACTCGTTCATTCGTCCATACTATTCATTCATAATATTTTTTTTATTAACTTCAGTTCTTCTAGCTAATGGCGATTCCAATAGCGAAACAACAATGTTCAAACACTCACTATCAACATTACTATTACTGCAACTTGGTAAAGCCTCAGAAAAACTTATTTTCACACTAAACAAGAGAATATTGTTCAAAATACATTCATTGTAATGAGCATGCTTTATCAACAATTTACAAACAAAAGCTATATTTTGCCAGATATTGAGCTTTTAATCTTGGAACACCAAAGGGAAACTATATGATGCAAATTATTAGGTTACAGCTCACGTGGAGCCATGTAAAATCAGTATCCATTGCTTGAAAGGGCATACAGTTGAGACAGACAAAAAAGAACAGCATCAATGTTCGCAGAACAACTTGACAATTTTATAAAAACTAGAAAATAAACTTTTATACTTTGTGGACTGATTCTCATGTGATGATTTAAATTTTGGATAGCAATTTCTCAGAAATTTGATTATGATTAAACTGATTTAGCAAAATATAGATATTTACCAAAGTTGATCCATGGAGATAGCTTCGAAGTATTATCTTTGGATGGATCATTGCTTGTACTTCCATATTCTCTTAAATTCTCTACGATAAATTTACGTAACATAGTAAGCCCCGCTTCAGGACCTGGACCATCGCCCCATTTTATTTCAGGTACATCGTACTTTGGAGTGTAGCAGTTTAAGGCCTCGTCAAGTTCAATTTCATTTTGTATATTTAGTTTTCCTGAATATTTGTGTTTAGATATATTTGGGAATCCCGTGAGATATTCATCTAGTTTTTGTGTTATTTTAGGACGCAGAAATTTAGCCATGCCCTCCTGTTTGCATGATGCGATCCATACAGGAACAATATTATGAGCATCTACCTAAAAAATATACAAATATATAATGATTCTGATAAATATTGCATATAAAACTTTCAGATCAAAGAGAAACAAATGGCTTTGGAAAGAGGAAAGAATGGAAAGAGAAGTAACAAAGTAAGAAATATTATAAAGCCAGTGATAGCTCTAGTGATAGAGCGACACCTGAAACTATATCAAATGAAATCAAATTAAAATTAAATCAAATTTTTTCTCATTTATGAACATAAAAACTTACTTGTACTAATGGTACTTCATCAGGTAGACTATCTAACAATGCAGTTTGGAGCTTTCTTGGGTGTTTAAGAGGACTAAAATCACACACAACTCCCCCTATGTCATTACTAACAATTAATTTGGCCAATTCCTTTGGTGAAGCATTCAACAGATGAAATCCAATATTCAGTTGCCGGAATTCTTTTTGAACAAACTTTAAACCTAAAAAAATCAATTAATCACAACCATTGAAAAAAATCATAATTGGGGTAGGTCATGGAATCGCATAAAATTTATGCTGGCTATTTATGGCTACCTAGCCTAATTACCATGCTGAATAACGTGATAATTATGGTCTGGCATTAAAATTACAATTACAAAGAATGGTGTGATCATATATAGTCACAGAGATATTACTGTACAAATTATTAGGACACAATTTTATTATAGGATACTGCAATTTTGCTAGTTTGAAGTAAAACATTTGTAATTAGGTTACTCTATTTTGTATCAAACACTAAAATTATATCTTCACACTTTGTATCCACATCCAAATTTAACAGGTAGAAAATATAATGTGCTTGTTTGAGGATTACTGCCCTAATATTTTTATTGCCAATTGTCTTTACTTTTGATTAATATTCATTGTCCACCGGAACATTCCATCAAATTACTAGAATTTAAAGACTTTTTAGTACAAGAGAGCCAACCAGAGCTACCATACTCATGTAGACCCTGCAAAAATTCCAGAGGTTTTTGATTTTGCTCTAGTAAAACAGGTAAGTGAAAAATAATTTAAAACAAAGCCTTGCTATGATTGATCCGATGACAATTCTCCAGTTGTTATAACCTTAAGTAAAAACATACCAACAATAGAAAGGAGTTGTTTACTAAAAAAGTTTTGAAATTGTTTTCTTGTGATAAGTTAAATATTATTTTACATGCACACATTTTAACACAAATTAGAATTTTTTAATTTTAAGTAGACCATATCAATTTACACATCTTATTAAAAATAGGCAGATAGAACAAGTAATCAAACAAAGTTTTTAACACAGTTTTACAGGAAGCAGCATTGAACACAACCCTGTTATCTTAAAACTTTTAAGGAGACTTAAAAACAAAGGCAATTAATAAGATCTCCTCACAGAAAAAAGGATCACAATAGAGTAAGAAAATTAAAAGGATTAATAATTTCAGAAAACATGCAAATTTTAAGGAATACCTGCAACAAATAGATGCTTTTGAAACCATTGTTACCAATACCTCCATTAAAAATGGTATATATTGAAACAGGATAACGGACACAAAGTTAATTAGAAAAAGCCAATTAACTAGAACTCTTCACAAAAAATATACATAACATGGATCCAAAAAGGCTAAAGGTTATAACCTTATTACTGAAAGAACTCTTCAGTAAGTGGCAAAGAAAGGCTTTGAATTCCTTACACATAAAAAGAATAGGCCACTTTACATCACATTGAAAATTAGCACAGATAACAATGATACTGAAGCAAGGAGAAGAACCTGAAAATGTACAGTCCTACAGTCTTCTGCAAGTGATGTCCAGTTTTTGAAAAGCTGATACTTACTAGGCTAACAACTATCCTACAAAACAAAGAACTAATTTTGTTCATAAAACAGCATTCAATGACACAAGTGCAGAGAGTTGTAAAGTAATCAAGTGGATTAAGATAATTATATTTACTATCTAAAGAAAAATGAAAGAACAAACTGATATGATCCAAGGTTTCGTTTGTACTTCTAGTTAACCAATAACTACAGGTAATACCAGAACAATAATGAAATACAAAGAATCATACAGGAAAACAAAGATAAAAGCCACCAATGAGCCAAGAAACATCCAGAATTTTGCAAATTGTAGAAAAAAGTAGAAAAAGATTAATTTAAAAAACGAATCTATAGTAGCCTATAGTGGATATATAAGATATCAAGAGGTTCTGAGAAAATAGTATTTAGCATCTTCATATTTCCTGTTGAATCATAGACATTGGTTTACATATAAAAAAAATGTACCTAACACTTACCTTCAATAAAAAAATTAAAATGTCTTTGTGTTGGATATTGTTGATGTGCGTCTTTAAGGCTATAACAAACATATAGTGGTAACTTCTTCTTTATGGCTAATCTTTGAGCAAATATCAAAGCCCAATTATCCTGGACACGGCAATCCCGGTACATCCAGTATAGAATCCCTTTTGATCCATCCTTAATATTTTCATTAGGTGATAAAACTCGGCAGCGATCTTTATTAAAGTTGAAGTTTTCAACACTTTCTCCTTGGGCTTCTCTAGCGGAAACAATATTTTTAATAAAATACTCTTTTGTTAGCTGATCTAGTAATATTTTGCCGCTAGAATTTCTTGGTTTCAATGATGCCATTATGTTTGTGTACAAGGTAAAATATAAATCGCCTTAATTATATTAAAATGAAAACTGTGCTAATGCTAAATTCATAAATTCTAAATGTTATTATTTTTATTTACCTAATAAACACAGAACTCTAATAAATGACACCTGCGTTCTGCGCATGGTACGATGGCACAGAATAATAAAACAATTGATATCTATTCTGTGCCCATGAAGTGAATATAGAAGCACAGAATAAGAAACAATCAGAATGTCCAGCCATTTCCACTCTCAGATGCCGCCTTTGAAGTGTACGCGATCGCCATATTTTAAACGGAAACAGACTCGGAGTGAGAAATTTGTGAAAAGTTAATCGATGTATTAACATGCTAAAATATACTAAAATGATAAAATAATTGTTTTAATGGATGCTTTTTTTATTTTGTTGATAAAAACTGCATGTGCATAATACTTAAGTTTAAAATTAATATTGTCTTTGGGCACATATATACTTGGTTGTATATTAACTTCCACCCAATTACATCGGAAGTTAAAAATTTGCATATTAGCAAAACATTAATTACTTAGCACCAGAATCAAACTACCTATTGTACTACCTCCATGTACTTATACTTGCCCTATCCAATCCACTCCATATATTTAACTGTTGCTTTGCAATAGCTATCATGGATTTTACATGTTTCTGCTTGAATTTCTCGCATCAAGAAAATTTGATCCACTATGTTAAACTTTCGTCTAGAACCATATTGATACTAACCATGTTTATCATCTATTTTCTGAGACATCTCATACGTGTTGTAAGATCTCGTCAACTCTTTTGTATTTTCTTTATTCTTTTTTGTTAACAGCCTGACAGGTTTATTTGGCTTAGGCTTTTTCTTCTACTGATAATTTAAATGCGGGGTATAGAAAAACAATTTTAAATGACTGTTTAGTTTTTATTACAACTCACTTGCACTTTTAAGTATAAAGACAAATTTAACAGCAAGGTAATATTTATAGTGTGTTGAAAACCTGTACAAAAACCCAATTGATATAGTAAATTATAATTGAAGAAGGAAATATAATTAACCAGAGCTGCTACCGTAAATATTAAATTAATCTATAATATAGCGATTACTACAATATTTTATACAGAAACAGTTGTGTAAAAATATGTTACGATCATTAAAATTACAGCTATTATAGATTCTATATTCCCATTCTCACTGAAAATATTACATATTTAGTATATTTATTCATCTGGACTCTTTTAAACTACTACTATGAAGATGTAATTTATACATTTATAATCTAGTGCTGCTCAAATTAATATATAGGTATTTATATTTTTACAAGACGATTATGATTATATACAAATTTAAACGTAAAGGCTTCATGAAAGATTTATGTCGAAAGTTTGTTTGAACATTTTTTTTTGATAATAATCCATTAACCGCATAAAAACAGTTCATGGAGAATGCCGTTTCAAAATATAAACCTTTATTTTGCTTCAAAACCATTTTAAATATCAACTCTTAATAAGAAAGTACTACTCTCTACCCGCAATTACTTATTGTTTAAAACTAGATCCTACTCGAAACGCATCTAGGTTCAAAACTCACCCAGCAATAGATTTAGCTTGGTGAAACAGGATGTCTCTCGGAACTGTGACAAATCCAGGTGTTGGTAATATTTGTTAGTTATTATAGACATATATAAAGAAAACATATAGTTTTTGTCGCATAGATTTCGGCGTCTTTTTTAATTATTAACAATTTTTTGCTAGTTACCTAGTTGCTACCTAGGGTCCATATAGATAGAGACTACGTCTCAGCAACCCCAGCTAGTAGTCTTGGTTAGTCAATTACATTGTGGGTTTTTACCCACATTTAGTGCCTTCACTCATGTATACCTGGTAACAGCACTGATGCTGGACTTGTTAGTCCAAAAACGTTGTGTGATGTAGCCGAAAAAGGTATTGTTTTAAATAAATATACCTTTTATACTACAGAAAATTCAATTTCTACGAGGAAATTAACAATTTAGTGTAAAACATGCCATTTTTTTATTATTTTTTTCCTTTATCATTAAAAAGCTTAATATTTGAGTTTATTTACAAAACTTTATCTTTTAAAACATAAAAGAAGATCAAAATGGTGATTCCTTATTTGTGATTGTGAAGAAGTAAAGATTATGATCTTTAATAAACACTCAGATCGATTCATCAATTAGTTTAAAAGTTACTCTAGTTGTTTATCAAAGAGATCTGATTCGTAGATTCTGCACTTTAAAATATTACGATTTAAGCCAACTTGCTTTAATAAAATGTCGATATTAAGAAAGATACAGGGTGTTAAAGTAGAAATTTAAAATTTTATTTTTAGCTATAACTTTTACGTTTGTAAATATTTATGGACAAACATTTTCAATTGGATGCTTTTGAGTAGGATAAATTATAATTTTATACATACTTTAATGTAACTGATAGAGGGCGCCACATGTGTGGCATAAATTTGCATTTTACTTTTTTGCTCTTTTTGTTAGCTCTATTTGTGTTAAAAAATATTAAAGGTACATTATTTTTACAAAGAAAAGGTATATTTGTTAGTAACCTCAAAATTCAACCGTTTTCGAGATAATCGCATTTTATAAGTCAGCTGCATAATAATTCTTAGTTTGATATTTGTGCGGTAAAGCACTGAATACCTGTAGATAAGCATAATTAATAGTTTATTCTTATTAAAACAACTCAAAAATGATAATGTAACATCACAGAATGCTTTGTTATAGGTGATTAACGTCTTATTGGAGAAAAGATTCTTCATCTTCTTCTTTAAGTGCCGTGTCCGTATTCAGACATTAGCCGTCATCGTGTTTACAGTTTTCATTTTCTATCGCTTCTTAAGTTTCTATAGTGGCGTTGTATTACTTTTTCTCTATTGTAAAATGCTGAAAACCCAAAATATGTGGTTTATGCAAGATGGTACACCACCATATTCTAGAGAGAAGGCAGTGAGAATATATTTAAATACAACTCTTCTGAACGTTGGATTGGTCGTGGTAGTCATATTCCTTGGCAATGTGGTGCGATATTGATATAATTATTTAATTCATAAAATCCGAAAAGAATACTTATTATTTATTACGTAAATTATTTACCTTCTTTTATTTGGATAAATAGAAACTAGAGCACATGTATTGAATAATACATACCTATGTGTCCTGTTTCATAATACTTTTGCTACAAATCTAACCTTAAAGACTGAGCATTTTTACAAAAACATCATCGTTGGCGTAATAACCGATATTGTTATATATATAGGAAACACACAGGCAATTTAGTTCAGCATAATATATTAGTTTGTTAGTAAATCATAATGGTCCATGTATTCGAGATGTAATTATAGTTACTCGTAAGCTGTAACGTAATCATATAAATAAATAATGTCATCGATAGGTTATTCCGTGTGTATATAAATAACAAATAAACGAGATACATCACAGTTTAATATATTATTTAACCTCTGCGACAAATAAGATATAGTTCCATAATATACCATAAGATTTGGATATGTATCCAAAAGAATATATTCATCCATTATACATTATAGCCACCACGTAGCCCAGAATTTAATCCGCATGATTTTGGTGTATGGGGCACATTAAAACAACGTGTCTATTCTTCTTCTTTGAGTGCCTCTCATTGGATATCATTATGGCGATTCTAATCTTGTTTAAATAGTGGTACACACACCTGTCTTAAATTTCTCATCCAGGACATTTTTCTACGGCCTGGATTTCTTGCATTATATTTTGTAGGAATGTGTACTTTTGTTCTCTCATCAGGTGGCCTAAGTATTCAAGATTTCTCTTTTTTATATTCATAATAACTTCTGGATCGTTATTTATTCATTTTTATTTAACGTGTCTATAAGAATCCCATAAACATTCGCAATCAACTATGGCAAGAAATAAATACTGCAGCAGTTTCTTTATAACCAATGATGCTATTCAATATGAGATCTATCTTTTATGATATCGAAAACTTTTTTTGACAAAAAGTTATGTTATTTAGTTTATCTCATGATGTCTTGATTATGACTTCAATTTAATATAAAACTTAAAATGTTTGATGTAAAATCCTATTATTGTTATTTTGTCAATTCCTATTATTAATTATTCTGCTGATATATTTATTTTATTTAATATTTCGTTAATTATTAACTTTAGTTAAAGGTATTTTATACCAAAATTCAGAAGTATTAATGTTTTTGTCTATTTTTCCTTCGTTGCCTAGAATGATTGCCTTAAATCAGAACTACGCAGCTGATTTGTAAAATGCGATTATCTTGAAAACTTTTAAGTTTTTAAGTTATTAACAGGTATACCTTTTTTTGTTACAATAATGTATCTTTTATATTTTTTGTCCCAAATACGCAATTTTTAGGCAATACAACTTATATGGCAATTACGCTGCAATACTTATAAACGACTTATCGTCTCATGAGTGTTTTCGTACTTTCGTTGATGATGAAATTATTGACGAGATTGTGAATCAAAAAAACTTATATGCAACTCAAATATTGTGTGATTCCAACGATATAACAAATTATTTAAGACTACAGAGATAGGTTCCAACCGACAAAAAGGATTAGATTATTGGTACAGTAGCTTACATGGCTCTGGTAAAAATGACTTCTTTGGGAAAGTATTGAAGCAACGACGAGCTAAATAAAAATGTTATTATACCGAAAACCATGTCCCGAAATAGATTTCAGCTACTTCTTAGAATGTGACACTTCTTAGATAATGAAAGTTGCTCAGCTAGTTTATTTAAGGGCAGCCATTAGTAGAAAAACTTATCAAAAACGTTCAAAGGGTTTATACTCTAGATCGAACATTTTGTATAGATAAGTCTATCGTTCCAATTCAAGGAGGATTGATATTCAAACAAGATATATGAGTAAAACTTTTTAATTATGCGGTGGCAATGGGTACATATGGAATCTACGAATATACGCTGGAAAGGAAAAAAAGAAGGGCAACTAACAAATATTTTGTTGGAAAATAGAACACATTATATTGGTACATTGAGAGCTCACTGGCGTGGAAATCCAAAAGTTAGACTCAAAAAG